GCCGAAAATTCAGTTTTTGCCCGTAGAAAAGACAAAAATCCAGTCCGTGTATGTTCCTCTGTATAATATTCCATTATGAAATAGATGCAAGAACATTATTTTAAATCTCGATGTTCCATATAGAAGGGAGTTCTCTGTCTATGACACTCCTGCGATATATGCGAGTTATTTTACGATTAGTAGCGTGAGGTTGTAGCAGAGAGAGTTTGACAAAACTTGATTTTCGTTTTCGTAATGGAGCGAACTCAAATTCCTATCATTCACAAGGTTCGCCAACTGATTAGATGGGACTGACCATAAACTAATTTGATTTTATGTCTATAAACTGATTTGATTTTGGAAAGATACTAGCATGTTGGTTAAATGGTCTAGAATTTTGCCTGAACTTCAGTGTTTCATTGGTATTACAGATCCGATCCCAGAAAGTACAAAATAAATCTTACTTTTTCGACACAAGCATAAGGTGATACAGCATCACAGCATCGCTTAAAAGCTGCAATGGCGTCTGCCTTCAGGCACACCATCTCTCCCTGAAAATGGCTCTGGTTACCTTTGGATAAATAATGAAATAATCACCAATCTCGGGTACACCCTCGAAAGAATCAGGAGAAAACGCGCTCGAAACCTAGATTTATGCTAGTTTTCACTGAAGAACCATACGACAGAACCAGTCCTGTTCAAGATTATAAGGACAAAACCGAGACCATGTCTCAATTCCTACAGTAATTCTCGTTATAAAACAACTTTTGAAATAGTGAGCATCATGTGTCGTAGAGTGGGTGCTGTTGTCTGTGGCTATCTTTCTACCAGAGCATGTTATTTTACGGCTTATCGCGATGTAAAGCAGTTGTGGTGGCCCGTACGTGCTCGATGTTTGCTCATGGTTCCCACTTACATTTGAATGCTAGTAGTAGGGATGCCCGGTTCGAACATCACCCTCAAGCCCCAGCTTTAGGAGTTTAACTCCAGGTTCCAAGGGGTACGGTATTAAGGCCATGGTAAGATATTTGCCATGCGCTATGCTAAATATACTTATAAGTTTTCAATTTATTTACTCAACTCTTGTTGAATTTACCTTGCTAGTTCTCACAA